AAATTTGTATCCTGTTAATCTGTCATTTGTTGGTTCAATTTGCAGGGTCCCAAACACTAAACCTAAAACAACAGAGAAAAAAAGTACTTTCTTAAAATAGGAGAAAGGGAGATATGCAGAGCTTCTCTACAAGTGAAATTCTGCCCCCACCAAGGGATCTTGGAAGTGTCTGGAGACAGTCAGGTTTTCATGAAGGTGGTGGGAGGCCGATATCCGTGAAATATAATGAGTGGAGGCGCAGGATGCTGTACAACATTCTACAATGTATGAAACAGTTCCCCAAACCAAGAATGACCTGACTCAAAATGGCAACAATGCTTACAGGGAGCAACAGTAGTTTAAAGTGCTGCATTGCTATAATTGCATATACAGGCCTCATACGAATATTTTTGAGTGAATGGATGGACAGTAAGATGGAAAAAGTGATGCAAAACAGGGTAAAATGTATTACCATTTCTGTGAGCAAAAGGAGAGCATGTGTGCACACATCACCTGTGCAGAGCATGGTCTATAGAAATGCCCAGAAAGGGCTGCTGATTTTTCAAAATGGAAAGCCACACGAAACCTGCAAGTCAGATAAATCCGAGTAAGCCTTTTGGCATTCCCTTATAACCCTTTTACGTGTTTATCAGTGCTGAGTAGCGCTCATTATCTGACATTCACATTGAACCAGATGCTCTGTTTTCCACCTGGCTGACCAGGGATGAGGTGGGGAGGAGAGGAGCAGAGCAGCAGTGGGAGGGCTCTCTGGCTTTTTGAGCATACTCTTTGTGGAGCTGCACATACTTACAAATGAGGATGGGGCAAGGGACAAGATCTACCGATGAAGGAAGGCCCATAAGAAAAAGGCTATGGGAGAAATTTGGAAGGAAGCAGATGCCAGCCTGATCATTTCCTTGTGATGCTAGGGAAGCTCACAATGCTCAGAACGCTCAGGGTGCTAAGGATGCTGGCGAAGAGATAACTTGCTCCATCTTTTCGAGGCAGAGTCTCTACGCCCTCTTGTGGCGCTCCAGGGATCTACTAGACTCTACCTTTTCAGCCTCCAGATGTCTTCCTCGTTTCTTGTTTCTGCTTGGGAAAGGTACAGATGCAGGTTGAGTGGACACCTCCTCTGATCCTCCTTCTGCCCTGCATGTAAGCCGCCATCCCTGTAAACACCAGGCCCATTCTGGCCATGGCACCATGTAATGCAGTCTTGGTCCCAAGGACAGTGTCTTCTGCCCCTTGAGTCCTCAGATCCTGGCTCAGAGCTGGTGCGGAGCGCCTTCCCTGACAGGGTGATCAGTCAGCATGGTGGGCTACTACTCACCTGTTATTATACTTGTGGGAGGTTGTGAACCGGTGGGAACCCTTGGACAGATTTAATGGGTGGAGCCAAGAGGATGTGCACAAGGATAATCAACAAATTCTTCAAATTGGGGACTTTATTTCTGTTTTTCTCTGGAGAACCAGATTGTCAGTGTGTCACCCCCAGGAATCCTCCATTCCTCCCCCTCCTCCTCCCTCTCCATCTGTCTCAGAACAGGGAAGTGCCCTGCTCTTCTGGGGAGAGCTGGGGGGACCAACACACACACATTCCCCAGCACCCCTCCTGCCTGTTCTTTTGCCTATCCTTGGGAATTATAAGTCAGATGAACCCCAAGTTCCATTTTGGATGCATCTACCTCCAGAGGACTTTAATGACCAGCTGTTCTTGCGGTAAAGAGATGCTCTGTTTTTAACTTGTGTTCTGTCCATTTACATATACTTTGTGATGTTTTAAAGAACAGTTAAACCATAGTCCTAGTTTTAACTTGGTGAATTGTAGAATTCTCACCGCATTCTCGTTAGGCAAGTATTACAGGTTTGTGTAGGCCTGAAATTCTTACATTGGATTCCTAACCAGACTCCCTCCAGCCTCAGAATAAGACCTTATTTAGAGATAGAATCACCGATTTAAAAGGAGGCTGTTAGGATAGGTCCTAAATCCACTGACTTCTACCCTTGGTAGAAGGGGAACTGTGGAAGCCGATACACACACACATGGAGAAGACCGCTATCTACAAGCCACAGAGAACCGCTTCCAGAGGAATCAGCCCTGGCAAAACCTTGGCCCTGGACCTAAGCATCCAGAACTGTGAGGCCATATGCTCCTGCTGTACAAGATGCTCAGACCAGGGTCCTTGGTAAGAGCAAACTTGCAGGCTCATAAGCCGGCCTCTGGGGTTTAGCCTGGGAATGCAGATGCAGCATGTTGTCTCTGTGTGGCGAGATGGTACAGCAGCATGAGACACCAACACACTGGTTTCTTCCTCAGTTCCTGACACAGAGCTCCAAAACCCTTGGAATTTCCTTGGGATAAGAGTATCTTCCATTCTAATGAGGCAACTCCTGGTGGGCTCTTGGATGGGGCTGGTCACCAGAGAGACCAAGCCAAGATCAGAAATTTAGACTTTTAGTCCTGCCTCTGTCTTGGGGAGGGGAGGGAGGCTGGAGACTGATTTTTTAAAATTGAACTGTGCCAAGTGTCATGGCATTCATTTTTAATCCCACACCCTGGGAGGCTGAGGTAAGCAGATCTCAAGTTCAGGCTCAGGCTCAGTCTGTACAATTTAGTGACTTGGCATGACCCTGTTTCAAAGTAAAAAGTAAAAAATTTTGGGAATGTAGCTCAAGACAAGGGTCCTGGGCTCAATCCTCCAGTACTGAAAAAGAAAAAGAAAAGAAAACAGAAAAGAAAGCAAGAAAGTGGAACTCTGGGGTTTGGAGGACTTTAGTGTTGACTGAGCCACATGGGTGGCTCAATCCAAACTCATGGACCAGAGGCCCCTTCTGGACCTCACCCTGAGCTTCTATTCCTCTATACACTCACGTGTCTCTTTTATCAGATCTTTTATAAAGAACCTGTAAGTGTGTTTCCCAGATTTCTGTGCACTCCAGACATTAGCAAATTATCTAAGGATGCAAGTGGGTTGAGAAACCCTCAACTAGTAGCCACACTGAACAGAAGTGTGGATACCCCGGGGGCTCATCATCTTTGATTGACCACTGGAGAGGTGAGACTGAGCCCCTAACCTGTGGGTTCTAATGCAAACTTGAGATACTGTCAAGATCAAATAGACTATAAGATACACGGTTTTGTCCAGAGAGAACTGGAGGCTTCCTTGTGGCTGTGGGGAAGCCCCTCTCACTCAGTGAGTTCCTTTATAGGTGACCCAAATGTTGCTTTGAAGGACAGGCAGGGTGGGCACAAGGACTTCTTGCTCCAGACAGATGCAGGTACCATCTGAAGGCCTGAGAGGTGTGAGAGGGACGATCGGGGGATGGGCCCTGCACTCAAGAGGAGCCTTAGCACTGCCATGTGGGGGAGTGGCGTAGGGAGGTTCCTCTGCTGCTTCTACTTTGGGATGCAGATGGGGGACAGGGTGAAGCATTTGAGGGGAGGGTCGTGGAGTTTCTGGGAAGCACCGTGTACCCCACATCTTCCACACTTGATTCTCCAGCAAGTGAAACAGCAGGTTGGGGCTGACCCGAATTGTCTTTTCAAAATGAAATACTGTCTAGCAAATCAAACAAACAAACAAACTCGGTGTTGCATTCTTGATATTTATGGCTACTATATAACTAGAAAAATTAGTTTTAATATTTAATGCTCTTGGAGTCAGAAAACCTCTTATTCCATAGCTTCTAGGAGGTACTTTCTTGGTGAGAGTAAATATTTTATTACTACTGTACACATGGTGCTGAAAATCTTTATGAATAAACAAAGGCACATTTAAAAGCTGTCTTTGAAAACAAATAGGTGGCTAATTTAACAGGGATTTGAGGCTTCAACCTTTCAGGATAGTATACGGCTGTAGGACTCTGAAAAAAAATCTGATGTTTATGCTGCAACATTATATCAAGGCAGAAATTTATTTTTATAGAGATAGTCCATAGGATTTCTCAGTCTTGTGAAGATGTGAAAGCAATATGTATTCAGCAGAAGTCTTACCTCTAAACTTGAGTATAGCACAGAAACTTGGACCAGTCCCTTAGGTGAGACTCCCTCCTGGGCACTGGGTTTATCGGTGCAATACAATAAACTCAGATGCATGCATTTTAAATATGACTTCTTTGAGGTCTGACAAATGTGTACCAACAAAGCCACACCCAGCAGGGTGCAGCACCTACAACCTACATCAGCGCCACCCTGCAGGATCTGTTTCTGCCCCATGGCTTCCCGCTTGTCTGGTCCATGCTGGTCCATCAGCACACTTACAGGTCACACTCAGGCTGGGTCTCTTCACTGTCATGCAGAATCGTCACGCTGTTGCTGTACATCAGCGCTTCCTTTGTTCTTGTTGCTAGCGGGAGTCCACGGCAGGACTGCTCCAACACGTATTTCTTGTTGGATATGAGAGCAATTCCTACTTTGAGGCTATCATGAATAAAGCAGGCATGGTCACCCTTGGACAAGTCTTTCCATAGATCTATGCAGTCATCTCAGGATGAGGGCAAGCACCCAGGAAGAGAATCTCTGAATTGTGGGTAGGTGCATGTTTAACCTTAATTGATAGCTTTAAAAGTAAGCCCTCTCCACAGCCACTTACAGACCATCCCTGTAATTCCAGCCACTAGGAAGCCTGAGGCAGGAGGATCTCATGTTTGAGGCTAGCCTGGGCAACTTAACAAGATCTTGTCTCAAAAAATAAAAAGGGCTGGCGAATGAGCTCAGTGGGAGAGTATTTGCCTAGCATATGCAAGACACTAAGTTCAACCCACAGTACCTCAACAAGAAAAGAAAGTAAACTCTCTCTAGCCCCCAAAGCCTGACCAGTCTCTTTCCTTCCCATTAAGAACCAAGTTATACACTGTCTCTTTCTCTCCGTTCTCTCCCTCGCTTGCTCTTGCACTCCCTCCAACCACTGTTGTTACCGGGCCCCACTCCGGCCCGAGTCCCCGCCCTCCTCCTTCCGACCACTGCCAACCTCCTGCTCGACTCGCAGCTTCCAGTATGGCCCCGCCCACCAGCGGTCCGCGGCCCTCTCGGTCGCTAGGTAACCGCCGCCAGTCTGAAAGACTGCAGCAGACAGACTGAAGGACCGCGGATCGCGACACCATGGACCTAGTCATCACGCAGGAGCTGGCCCGAGCCGAGAGCCACGGAGGTGGGTCCGGAGTAGCCGACCTGCCCGTAGAAAACCCCAGGACTCCCGTCGTTGGGAGACCTGGGAACCAAGCACCCTGGAACCCAAAGAGGGAAGGCCCCAGGTTCCCCTGCCCCTGCCCCTGGTTTATGGAAGAGACCATTTGAGGGCAGCAGTTGAAGGCCTCAAATTTAGGGTTGACCTGAGCAGAGGTGAACCAGGGGCCTTCCTGCTTGGAGCTCTTGCTGGCGGAGACCATTGGCTGGCCCCTCTGTTGCAGTGGGAGGGCCCTGGGCGCTCGGTCCTGAAGTGCAGGGTGCTGGTGACCTTGGGCCACTGTTCCCAGACAGGCCCGTGGGCCACGGGAGAACTGTCTATCCAGACTCTCAATCTTCTTTTGGCCCCTTGCCCGACAGATGCTGATTCTCTGAAGCGAGCCTATGAGCTAATCAAGTCCGCCAACCTGGGGAAGTCAGAGTTTGACCCCTCAGAAAGCTTCAGTCCAGACTTGTTTGTACTCTGTGCTGAACAGGCACTCAAGGTGACTGGCCCAGGTGGCCTGGACAGACACAGACTCGGGAGGGCTTCCACATTCCTGGGGTTTCTGGGCTCAGATGTGGGTGGAAGGACGAGTGCGTGGGTGGTCCTCCTCAGGCGCGCCCAGCCTGTCCTCAAGGCTGCTCCCTCCGGACAGCATCTTTCCAGCTCTGGGAGGCATGTTCTCTTTCAGATGGGACAGCCAGAGGTGAGCAAAGACTGCATTCAGATGTACTTCAAGGTGAAGGGCCCAGTCACCCAGTTTCTGGGCCGGGCGCACCTGTGCAGGGCCCAGCTGTGTGCTCCGCAGTCTTCAGACAACTTGGTGAGCTTGCTGGAGCCCCTGCTTCTCAGCCGGTAGCTTCCCATGCATCCAAAGGGTGGTCTAAACCAGTCTTAAAATAGTGTTCATCTTCACAGTGGTATGAAATCATCCATTTCCTGTTGCTGCTTTCTCCTCGGATCACTCTGCTTGTTGGGCATATGACATGTACTTTACAACTCTTGGACCTTTGTGTGGTCATGTTATGGTCTTTCTGCCTTGTGTACCTGCAGTTGTCCCCGAGCTGGGCAAAGGTAACCTAGGGGAGGCCGGGTATCCCAGGACATAGGCAGCTGTATTTTCTGATCAAGTCCAGGCCTACACCCCAGCAGCCCAGATGTCAGCCCAGTCTCAGTGAGAGTGTTCGCAGAAGTGACCATAAGCAGCGATGGGTACTGCAGTGGCAAATTCAATTTAATTGCACATTCTTTACTCTGTTTTAGGAAGAATTTGAATACTGTGTGACTCAGTACATGAAGGCTATAAACTTTGCAAAAGGAGAACCGAGGTAGGCATATTGAATTGTCTGTTCCTAAATGACTGCATAAAAGACCTTAGGGCCAATACTTGGAGTGGCCTGTTTATTTGGCTGGTCAGAGCTTTCCCTTTGTCTTTGTTTTGTGTTTTTAATTCCTTTATGGATATAAGCTCATCTCATTAGCATGCAGGACTGGGCCATATTCATACACAATTTCTATAGCACTGTGTCTTCTTCCACAGTTTTCAAGATTGTCCAAATCTGTTTTTTCTAGAAACCTTCCTTCTGACCTGTACCCTGGGCTGTTCTGTACCCTCTGTACCCTCCACCTCTCAGGGGCCACATCTCCAGTATGAAGGGACCATGCTCTTGTCTTCCTCAGGTGGCTGCCCACTGCCTTGTAGAGCTGTCTGGGTCAAAGCCACCCACCTCTGTACAAGGGGCTCACTGAAACTCCAGCTCAGTTTTCTACTCAGTTAACACCAACTAGAACAAATATGATTATTGACATGATTAAGCTTGCACACAAACTTGTATTAATGCAGCAGGTGTGATAGGACGCAGTATTTGAAGATACTTTCACTATAAATCACAGGTTCATTCATTCATTCCTCCAATGTCCACTGCTTGTCTGTTGTTGGCCCTTTCTGGCCACAGCTTGTGTAAGGGCTGGGGATACAGAACCCAGATCCACAGACCCTCCCTCCACAGAAACAGAGGGAGGGGGAACCAGCCACTGAAACAGATCCTAAGAATAAGGGGTGTCTCTGAAAGGGGTCACATCCTACATGATGAATCAGGGGACCTGAAGGGATCTTGGGCCAACAGAAGATGGTGGGTGACCAGGATCCTGAGAAGGTTGTCAGAGCCACCTTTAGAAAGAGTTGTGGATGTCATTTGAGAGCTGTCTGGCTGGTATTGGGAGAGGAGTAGACAGCCCAAGTGGTCCTATGGGATGTGACAGAAGTCAAGAGGAGGCATCAAGGACAGGAGTACAAGGGAGAGGGTAAGTTCTTTTCTGGCATGACAAGACACCAGGGAGACACTGCAGATAATGGACTCATTTCAACCAGAGGAGTCTGCTTGTGACATCTGCCCTTTCATCCCTTTGGAGGAGCTGTGGCCCGGACAAGAATCCTCCAAGGGGCAGACTTTTCTGGCTGCTGCCACCCTGCTGTCCTTCCTTCTTTCTGGGTATCAAGCAGCACTGGACTGTCCGATGGTTGACAGTAAGATGCCATCCTGCACCTGAAGCCCCATGGGGCAAAGCTGTCCACCCCAGAGAATGGCCTAGACTAAGAAAGCCTAGTGGCTCCCCAACTTAATCCTTTGGGTGGTGTTCTGCCACCTTCAGGGGAAGCCCAGGCACTTGAGAGATGACTTCGCTTACTCAGATGGGAATTTTGTTCCTTAAATGTTCCTTTCCGCTCTGTCTGGCTGAGATTCTTTTATTTCACTTAGAACCTGACAGATTCTTGATCATCTTTTAGGTCATAGTAGGATGTCACCTCGTCTGGGAAATCCTCCAGGGCCCTCCCTCCCTTGTTCCCTGGTGTATTTTATGGGGGACTGATCTGTTGTGGAATCACAGTTGAATGAAAGGACCCTCGTCTGAACTGAGAGGCCACAGCCATGTCATTCCTGCCGAACGGCACTGGACACGGCCATCCGGGAGTGTCTGTGCATACCGGTGTCCATGCAGGGTGGGCAAAAGCTCTACAGACAGGGCTGCCACCATCTGCCAAAGATAGTGAGACATCTGCAAGGGCTCTGGGGATAGAGGAGCCCCTGATGCTATAGCTTCGCTACTCGGATTTCTTCTCCCTTGTTGCAGGTACTACTTCCTGGTGTACAATGCCTCAGTACTCTACTGGCACATGGTGAGACCATTTCTCAAGCCTGGTTATCACCACCTTGTGATCCCCAGCCTCTCCCAAATTGTCAGTGTGTTAAATCAGACTGAGGAAGAAGACAAAGAATGGCGGGCTGAGCTGATGCTGTGAGTGTGGTGCTGGCCCTTGGAGCCCCGGGCCAGAGTCCCTAGTGTCCCTTCTCCCCTCTGGGATATGATTTCTTGTTGACTGGATGTACATCCTTGCTTTTTCTTTCATAGTTGGGATTGGTTTTGTCTTGTTACATGGTTGTTTCTAGAATCTATGGATGACTCTTACTATGGACCTTTGAACTGATGACACGAATATATTGAGATGCACTAGTCCCCCACTAGTCCTGGCTCATGGTTTTAAAATCTCAGTGCAGTAAACTCTTACTGAGGTGGATAGTTAGCAAATAGTTACCCCAGGGTAAGCACCACATCCAGGTGTCCAGGTGGCCATGTAGTATTGTGTGGGTCAGTGCAGGGTGGGTATGTCACCGGATGGATGCTCGGTCATTGTACCTCCCAGGCTAAAAGGGGACCTGCCAGAATTTCTGTGTCTGGGGCCACTCTGAGAGGCCAGTGCCTGGGTGGATGCTGACAGTGAAGATACCAGTTGAGCCACTGCCAGAAACTTACACCCAAGTCCAAATCCAGAGTGTACAGGTTTGGTTATCTGCTTACTTTAAAAGAAAGTAAGTATAGATATGATCTTTCTTTAAGATGTAATTTTCAAATGCCATAGGTAATTAAAATGCCAGGAACTCCTGTTCTATTGTCTGTGGTGGTATGTTTTCCTGGCTCCTGCTGGCCCTTCCCAGGGATCTCTGGGCTCTGGTTGTGGCTGAAGGAGCTCTCCAGGGACTCTTTTTAAAGTTTGTGAAATGTAAAAATTACAAAAGTATAATATCCTGGCATTTGCAACAGAAAACAATTTCAAAAAGGTTTAATATGTACCATTGTTTGTATTATCCAGGGAACTTCTTGAGTGTTATCTGCAAGCTGGAAAAAAGGAGGAAGCTGCCAAGTTTTGTTCCAGTGCAGCACCGTTTATAAAAGCTCATGTGCCACAGAAGTATCGCCAGATATTCTCAGTTATGGTAAACTGACATAATGAAAAATACATATAGGAAGGAATTTTCTTAGGAGTCACTGTTCAAAAAAGTATGTATGAGACCATTATCTGAGAGAGATAAAATTATATATACAAGAGCAAAACGAAAAGAAACAAAGTGATAAAAAAAACTAGCAATTCATCCTATGTGAAATTACTGTATAGAATTACTTTTTGAAAACAAAAGATCTTTGCCTTCATTGTTATTGTTTAAATATTTCTTTTAAACAATAGCAATGATTCCTCCATGGGGATGCCCTGTACATTGAATTTTTAAAGAAATTAACCGAAAAGTTATGAAGAGACAAGTAATTATTACTATGTGCTGTGTCCCAAAAGTGTTCATCAGCTATTACTTTTTATGTGCAAATACCAGTATAAATTATATCTGAAAACTGAATATAAATATTAATAAGATACATTTTAATTAAAGATATTAATTTTACAGGAAGACTTAAATGATATTATCTAGACACAAAATCTGAATCTGTTCCAAATTACCTATTTGAGTCCAAGTTAATATTCTGTTCCATTTTATGACAGGTTCGTCACGAATTAATGAATGAGCTTCAGTTAAAGGAAGAAAAGGAAAATTCCATTAGCCTGTCAGTCTCTTTCCACATTAATGCACTAAAAGCGTGAGTAGTTTTGAGAGAAAGCCAAAGTTGAGTGTTTTGAGGAGTGAGCTCAGGAAATCTGTCCACTCTGTGGGGACGCCCTGTGCCAGTGGCCAGTGTTGGGAAGCTGATCAAGGCAACCTGGAGGAGGTAGGAATCCAGGGTCACCAGGGGATGGGTGGTCTGAAAGCCACTCCCACCCTTGCCCAGCCTTCCCCCATTACGGAGGAGAGGCGTGTGAGGTCACCAGCAGGAAGAGGACAGATTCTACAAATGAAAAAAGTCCCCAGCTGAATCAAGTGCTCCTGACGAGTCATGCCAGATGCGGCTGAAGTGACCATGTGGATTGAATAAGACAAGAGTAGTGTTTTGACAAAATTCAATGGGATGAGCAGAGTGCAAGAGGGAGTGGAAATATGCCCAGAGAGTAGAGAGGAGTGTTTTAAGAAGTTTACCGTAAGGGGCTGCAGGGGACTGCTGCTGTGGAGGTCAGAGTGTGTTTGTGTGCACTGGGTAAGGGTATGTGAGGAGGGTATGATGTGTTTGGATGCTGAGGGAAGTGAGGGGTTGGAGTGGGTTTGCTAAGCTGTGTGAGAGGATCTTGGTGGCTTTGTGAGTTCAGGGGAGCACTTCTGAGAGGAAAGCTGGCCCCAGGCCCTGGAACAGTGAGAGAAAGGCCAACAGTTCCCAGACGGGGCCCCCCAGAACAGCGCTGACCTTGGCAGCCAGGCCTGTGCTCATTTCCTGGAGGGTACCCTTCAGTGATGAGGAAGAAAGAACATCATATGGCAGTGAGGAGGGACGAGGAGGTATGAAAACTGCCTGGGACATCAGAGGACAGTTAGGAGGAGAGATGTTTCAGGGTCTGGCTCAGTGCAACACACAGGTTCATAGACTTTCGTAGAGATTCTCTTAGAATAATTTTAATAAATCTGAAAGGATTGTTTGTTATTTAGTATTTTAATTCATTCTAGGAAATTGGATAGAAATGATTTACCAGAAGATGTCAACCAAATTCTGGAGAATACCTATAAACATTTAGGTCATTTTAATCACCAGTGCTTTCCTTCAAACAGAGAAGAAAAGTAAGTGTGCATTTCCAGTGTTCCATCTACATGACCGATGTACAAAATTCAGAAAAATATCCAAAAATGTGAAAAGTTGTAAAAACAAGCAACTAGAAGAACCCTAGCAAAAGCCAGCAAGATGGAATAAATATTTAGTATATTTCCTCTGGCCTTTTTTGCCTTGAGGTTTGTAATATTTGGGACACTTGGGATATATGACTTCACATCCTACTTTGCAAAGTCAAATTTAACCTCTAAGCAAACGTATTTTCAAGTTTCAAGGAAGTTCATGTCTGCCTTCAAATTCTTCAAAGTATTCTGACTGAAAGTAGGCCACGCTGGGTCAAAGCTCCAGCATCCTCTTCTGTGGCTGGATGCTTCTGGGCAGGGGTCTCAAGATGGTGTGAATAGCCCCATTCTGGGAGTCTACTCATTATTCCTTTAGGAGAACTTTCTAGAAATAGGATTCTGAGATGCTCATGCACACTGCGGAAGCCATACATAAGGAAGCTTGCTTCTGCCCCCTTGTGGTCTCTCTGAACCTCTCAGGCGAAAAGCCACTGTTTTATTTTCCACTTCTCTTGTCTGCTGATGAAGCTGAACCTTTTCTCACATATTTAAGGCTTTTTTTTTTTTGGTTAATTTTATGTTCATTTCTTTTACCTGAGTTTTTCAAAGTAGGGTTATTAAGCAAGATACAATTCAATCAAAACAGCTTTCTGTGGGTTGAGTCCTTCACCTCCACTAAATTTACAGCATCCCAGTTTACCATTTAGTTTCAAATATTTTTCCATGTGCAGAAATACAAAATACAAAAAATATTTAATATAAAGATAATTTGGGCTAACATGTATTCCCACCAATCCTGGGCCAGATGCTGTTTTAGGCCAGTCTCATACAATAACTTTCTTCATTCCTATAGCCTAATGAGAAGTCTTAAAATGAGGTAATTTCATCCACTAGCATCTTTCTTTTTTAAAGTCATGTCAGCCATCATTGATCTCTGAGCTCTGTTGACCTCACAAAGACTCTGACTGGTGATTGTGAATGATGTCTCATCATATGCCTGTCACATAAGGGAAGAGGCTCGACCCTGCCTCTGGAAAAGCAGGTCTCTTCCTGTGTGGTCTCTTCCCTCACTGGGCCTGAAAATGTGACTAGTGACAGGGTCTTGCAATGTGGCTGTGCTGAGTGTCGCCTGTGACAACACACGTCTGCCTGTGCCTCCCCAAGGCTCTGTGCATGACCTGAAGACCTGTGTGGGGGACAGTGCATGCATGCAGCAGGGACCACTACCATGGAGGGCAGCTGAGGCCCTGTGGCAGTGAGCCTGGCATAGGTCTCACAGCAGCATTTGTAGTCTGTTATCTAATTTTATTTTGTTATTGTATTTCTTAATTTAGCAGAATATGACGGACTGCTTCCTCTGCCATGCAGGTGAATCTCTCCTGTTCCCCAGTTGAACAAGTGCCCCTTTTGTTTCTTTTCAGAATGCTCTTGCTTTTTGAATTAGCTCATCTTTCTCTGAACTTGAAATGCGAGGACATAGCCTCTAACTGCCTGTCCGACCTAAAGAAAATTGAAACACAAGTAAGTGGCTTAGTGACAGTTGTCTACAGAGGCAAAGAAGCAGCTCACAAAGGTATGGCCCAAGGGGCTGCAGACTGTGTCCCCATCTTTTTCGCGTGCATCTTGTGAAGTTGTGGTAATATGAGTTTTACTGTTGTGTGTGTGTCCCTTTCTCTTCACCCTTATCATGGCCTCAGGTCCCCTGTGCCACCAGTGGTTCGGTCCAGTACACACTGAAGTCCAAACTCCCACTGGACATGTAAACCATACATTTTTTGCTTATTTCATAAGGGGCTCCAATGAACGTTCTGCACTTAAAGCTTTTTATTCGCATGTTAGGATTTTCCCCTAAAATAGTTTCAAAGACATGGAATGTAGAGAATTCATATAGCTGAGATTTTAAAAAACATATCCATGTGACCACACTGCCCTCCAGGGGCAGTTTAAGAGCACACACTGGAAGTGCTGAGCCTGTGTGCCTCAGGGAGGTTGGCTTTGTAACTTAGGTGGGGGAGGCTGTGGAAGGCCCACGGAGCAGAGGGTCAGTAAGTCACCTGTGTGCTCCTCCATACAAAGACCAAAGTTAGACGGTGAGACCATGCACAGGAGAGTCACTTCCTGAGCATCACCGCAGGTCCTCACTGACCACCTACTGTGTGTTTACTCCAGGTTACCTGAGATTATCAACACTGATTGACCCAAATAACGCTGTAAGACGTGGCATTGATGAGAAGAACAGTTCATTTAGCAAAATGGAAATCAGTTACATTCATAGTTGTGGTGATCTGGAAACATTTTTTTAAAGGCAACTTTATTCGGACCTCAGTGATCATGTTGCCCTCAGATGGGACCAGTACAGGAAGGGAGTGGGTAGAAAATGCAGTTGAGGCTGGGATGTGGCCAGACAGCACAGAGCATGCAAACAGCATGGGAGGTACTTAATACTGAGTTCTCTCGTTGCCTTGTGCCTCCCTTCTGGGTTTCCATGACACAGAAGCCCAAGCATAGCACTATTATCCTAACACCTGGGTCCTGGCCCACTTGCAGCACTCCCAAACCCAGGAGCCTTCCTTTTCTCCATGCACCTTGAGTTTTGTCTCTGTAAAATGGCAGCAATATTAAGACCTGTCTCCTGGGACTGGAGCCGTACTCTGCACGGAGAGGTGAGATGCGTGGGCACAGAGTTGCTGCTGACAGAGTACTGCTGTGAGGGAGGCTCATGTAAAAGCAGTGTAGCCTTCACCACCCTATGCCTCTGCCAAGTGGGTCCTGCTGCCCCAATTCCTTGGCTTCTGTCCTTGGCTCTTTGCCCCACAACCCCTGCCAGTCCCACAGGCCTCCTCCCTAACCACCTGCCAATCCAGCCTGCTTTGAATCTCCACGCATTACGGGGCCCTATGACTGGGGATTCCAAGAGCCAGGCCACTCCTACAGGTCACTGTGGAAAAACACCCCAGGGGAAGCCACTGTATCAGGGAAGAAGCAGCAGTTGGATTCCCAGTACTGAGCCTTAACTTCTGACATTTTAATGCCCCCTAGGAGAATGTAGAGCAAAAATAAACACACTTCTGTTACATCTTGTGAGGGTAGATTTTTATCAAGGGTTCATTAAAAAAGACTTACATCAATAAAAGAATTAGAGATATAAGTGCAGAAGGAGACTCGAAATAACTTTATTGGAAAGGGAAGAGAAATAGGGGACAAAATCACTTTTACTGGAAAAGGGGGAGAAATAAGGAGAATAAATAGCAACCTTTTTGGAGTAAGGTGGGGAGTCCTGAGCTGGAATGCAAGGGGTCTTTGTTCCTAGTCCCTTTTATTACATAGCAAGAAAGGGACTGTCTGCCTTGAGAGTTGTTGAAACTTGATTGGCTATTTTGGGCTCTGAGGCCCTGAATTGGCCATTGCCCTTATGTCCATTCATGGATAAACCTTTCTTTGGTTGCTTCGTGTGGTCCAGGTGCTTCTCTTCTGAGATTTATAGTACAGCCCCACATTCAAAAATTAGTTAGCCAAAAAACAAAGATACATGTACATTTTAGTGTATTAATATGGTGAGAGAATTATATATATGTATAATTCTCAAATGAAAGTGAATTGGCCATTGCCCTTATGTCCATTCATGGATAAACCTTTCTTTGGTTGCTTCGTGTGGTCCAGGTGCTTCTCTTCTGAGATTTATAGTACAGCCCCACATTCAAAAATTAGTTAGCCAAAAAACAAAGATACATGTACATTTTAGTGTATTAATATGGTGAGAGAATTATATATATGTATAATTCTCAAATGAAAGAGATATATATATATATATATAATATATATATATATATA